CCCTAGGAACCTAGTGCTCTGATACCATGTTGTCACGACCCAAAATCCACTAAGGGTCGTGATGGCGCCGGACACCGCTGTCAGGCAAGCCAACCAAATACTTAATTAAACTCCAATTTTAGTATTTGCTGAAATCATTTTCCTTTATACATCAAATAACAAATAACGAACTTTACAGGAATAACCATGAAGTCTTTAATAAACTTAATATTGAACAATCCTATAACCATCTCAGAACCCGGTGTCACAAGCGCATGAGCATCTACTAAGAAGGAAATAAAATACAATATCCGTCCGCAATACAGTGGACAGAAAGTAAATACAATACACTGGAAGGGACTATACTAGCTGCGGGCCGCCTCGAATAATGCAACTCACCTAGTCCAAGTATCGTCCGTGCTGCTACGCCCAGTAGGCCACTAATAACACATGAGCCTGTGCAACAAAAATGCACAGAAGTGTAGTATGAGTACAAAAATAACGTGTACTCAGTAAGTATCCCGTCTAATCTCGAAGAAGTAGAGACGAGAGGTCGACTTTGACACTTACTAAGGGTCCAATAATGTGATGTCAATAATACACGAAATTGTGGATTCCTATAAACATGATTTTAATCCAATAGAAGGAAAAAAGTAAACAATTATTTCTTTTATAGGAAATTTTCAAAAATTCCTTTTCATTATTTATCCAAATATTCTCAAGCCAGGAAGAGGCAATAAGAACTTTAATAAGTTCAAGACAGCAATACAAGCATGCGCAAACCATGCTGAGGCATACAGCCCGCTCCAACAGAAAATAAATTGTGCACTGCCGAGGGTCGAACGGCGCGAACCATAGATGCTTCTATTACCCCGCTCGCGAACTATCCATGCGACGCGGTCAACACAAAATAAACAATCACCCTGCTTGCGAATCATACATGCGACGCAGGCACACATAGAAATACATGCTCATATAGCCAATTAAGAATTTATCGGGGAATATTTATTCAATAAAAGCCACTTTCTCTTTTAACAATTTAAGAAAAGAAGCTTAATCTATTTTGAAATTTATTTAGTAATTCGACGTGGGTTAAGCAATTCGGGCTGTCAATAAGTTTACAATTAATCCAAGTATAGCATGCTTTTGGGTCCTAGACTACCCGGACAATAGCATGATAGTAGCTACGCACGGACTCTCGTCACCTCGTGCGTATGTAGCCCCCACAAATAGGAGCACATAACCAATTAATTCACCTATGGGGACAATTCCCTCTTACAAGGTTAGAAAGGAGACTCACCTCGCTCCAAAGCGCACTTCCAATATCAAAAACCAGCCCAATCCCTCAATTCGGAGCCGAACGATCACAAGCTCACAATGCTATGTTGAATTCCCCTCTTTGAAAGCTCCAAAATCGCCCAAGTGTAGAGTTAAAATGAAATAAATGCCCTAAGTCCCGTTTTTAAAANCTTAGGCTATAGTAAGATTCATAAAGGTTACAAGCATTTTGATCCATGTTCTGCAAAGTTTTATGTCTCACGTCATGTTATATTTGATTAACATGTGTTCCCATTTGAGGCTACGAATGATGCTACGATGCCCACTAGTCAACACATACTATTGCTCCTATCAATGTCCAAGTGCTGTCATGTATCCACCACCATCTCCCTTTAGAACCACAATGTGATGCCTCATGCAGACCTTCCTCTTCCTCAACGGAGCAACCCTTGCAGTTACACACATTAATATCTCCTATTTCACGCAATGAGATAAATGAATCATCATCGACAGTTTCCTTACAACATTGCACAAACTTGCTCAAGCAATCAAATCGCCGAAATAACACCTAAAACCACGGATTCAACACCAAAACGCATGAGATCCTTAAGAACATCCAAATTCCTATCTTTTCAACGGGACGTCCGAATCACGTCAAATCAGTCCCGTTTCTCACCAAATTCCACAGACAAGACTAAAATATTATACCGAACCTGTACCGGGCTCCGGAACCAACATACGGGCCCGATACCAATATGATCAAGCATTTTTCCTCTTTATTAAACTCTTAGGATTTAGATTTAACAATTTTCAATAAAAAATTCATTACTCGGGCTAGGGACCTCGGAATTCGATTTCGGGCATACGCCCAGGTCCCATATTTTTCCACGGACCCTCCGGGACCGTCAAATCACGAGTCCGGGTCCGTTTTCCCAACAAGTTGACCGAGGTCAAACTTGGTCTTTTAAGAGAATCCTAAAGAAACAATTGGACATATTTCACTCAAAACTCTTCCAACTCCCGAACTAACCGTTCTCGCAAGTCATAAATTAGCTAAAGCAAGCACGGAAAGTTTTATTTAAGGGAACGGGGTTCTAAAAGGCAAAACGACCAGTCGGGTCGTTATATTTAAGCTTCCAAAATGAGAATTCTCTTCCCAAATCAACTCTGAACTTCCCGAAATCCAATCCCGACCACGCGTACAAATCATAATACCTGAAACGAAGCTGCTCATGGCCTCAGACTGCTGAACGATGCGCTAGGGGTCAAAACAGCCGGTCGGGTCGTTACACATTTAATAGTGATAGTTGTGTTAGCTCCTAAAACATATTGTAGAAATCTGCATTTACTGAGACAGAACCTCACTTGGTAAGTGGAAGATACTTGCTATTCTAATAATTTTAACTTCTTGAAAGTACTCTTATGTAATTGATTTCCAAGTGAAGTGCCTATGCAATTCAGAAGGGTTGTATGGAAGAAAACCTTAATTAGTAAGCCGCTAATCTTTAGATCTATTAGTTTCTTTGATTCAACATATGATGATGGTCTTCATTTGAGCTAAACAGTTGCTACTTCATTTACAGAGATGACCTTTTTGATTTCGGATAGGCTCGGCTCTATTATAAGAGTGTTCAACTTGATGTATATTGTAGAGTTACTTGGGCTAAATTGATGCTTGGTCAACCTTCTGTATTTCCTTTACCACATAAAATATTGATTCTTATTTGCAAGGTGAATCGGAATACTTTGTTGATAGAATCAATCTGGACATACGGGTTTTACTCCTCAAACATACTGGTTTCTTAATTTCTTTAAATCCTTGTGTGTATTCCTTGCCAAGTGAGTATTGAATTTCTTGAAAGAATGGTCTTTAGTTGAATTTTTTGTACTTTATTCTTTCGGTATTATTATTTACTCCGATTTGTTTTAATAATACTGATATTATTTTTATAAAATGTGTACTTCATGACTCGGTACACACGTGCAATGCACGTGCCGAGAAACTAGTATATATATATATATATATATAATTTATTTTTATCCATATTACTACTCTGGACAATTGTACGAAGTGCAAAGTGAATTGTACAGATTGCTTGGAAGTATCTAATTGGCCATTGAGTCTCTTTGACGCGTGTATTCTCCTAAATCCTAATCCCTTCCCCACTGGAGACCATTAATTGTATTAAACTAGGGAAAATACATAAAACCCCCTGACTTATACCCGGATTTCCAACTACACACTTTTTCTTTGCGGGAATCCTATTACCCCCTAAACTTATTTTAAATAGTATTATTTGCACCCTTAACGCTGACATGGCAGAGTGTGTGTATTTCACTCTCCCAAAGGACAGTGAGAAGCAAGAAAAAACGATTTTCAGATTATTTTTTATTCTTTTTTACCATTTTTTCTTACTTTTTTTTCCTTTTCCTTTTTCTTTGTCTTTGTCTTTTTTCTTTTACTTTTTTTTTTTGTTTCTTCTCTAATTCCGGCGGATATTCATTCACCGGCGACTTTGTCTAACCGTTTTTCTTCCATTTTTTTTTCACACACAAATTAAACTCTCAAAAAGATCTATTCATAAGCAAAGCAAAATACACTCAGATTTGGGGGGAAAAATTCATCATCGAAAAACCTTCCCACGCCGGAAAAAAAATGATTTATTGAAATTTTAACTGGAAAAAATTTTCTCAGCTTATATTCATTTTTGTTTCTTTTTCTCTTCCTCCCACACATAAATTATGCTTTCAAGAAAAATTTATATATATATAAAATAAAACACACTTAGATCGGGATAAAAATCTGTCGCCGGAAAAAAAATGGTATTTGTGAAATTCCGACGAGCACCATTTTATGCCGCCGGTGACCAAAACAAAAAGAAAGAGAATGAAATAACCAAGAAAAATGAGAATAATAAGAAATAAGAAAAAAAGGATAAGAAAAAGAAGAAAGAATAAAAAAAGTACTAAAAATACATGTGGGGGCGCGTGTAGCTCACCACTTGCCAAGAGTTTGGTTGTCAGCGTTAAGGGTGCAAATAATTACATTTAAAATAAGTTTAGAAGGGTAATAGGATTCCCGCAAAGAAAAAGTGTGTAGTTGGGAATCCGGGTATAGGTCAGGGGGGTACTTATGCATTTTCCCATTAAACTATTAACATTTACACTTTACACATTAGGTTCAATCTTAACCAAGTTGTTTTTTTTGTTTTTTAACAGTTTGTCATCGTCTTAAACAGTAAGAAATCTGTTCAAATGATATTGTTGATGTATTCTATTGTACACTTCTCAATCCCTTACCATCCACTTGAATGTAGTATGAGAAGATAAAAGAAGTATTTGATATCCAGTATTTGATTCTAGTAATATGGCCTCATGGTGTAATTTAGTTGATATATATATATATGAGAAATGTTGACTATATTGTTGTTTCGGAGATGTACTCCCCAACACTGTGTTGAAGTATGTTAAGTTTCAATCAACTGAAACTAAACCGATAACCATCCGATAACCGCCCGATAATAGCTAAACCGATACCAATCTGCCCGATATCTTATCGGGTGGCTAGCGGATTAATACATTTAAAAACCGATAACCGATAAGCCAAATCGTTAAGAGTAAATAACCGCCCAATCCGCCCGATAAGCAGCCCTAGATATAAATAACAAGTTTACTAAAGAAGCATAGTACATTAAATATGAAATACCAATTTCTAGTTTTGAAAGCAAAAGAGATGTACTCCGTACAGTTTACCACCCCTTACCTCAGAACTCAAGAAACTCTCTCAGATTTGATTTAAAGATTTAACTTCATTTAACTCAAGAAATGTCAAAAGCTTTAACTTCATTTAATTCAAGAAAATTCAAAAGCATTACGACTCTACTAAAGGCTAAAGCAACGCTAATCTCCAAGCTAAAGGTTGCTGAATGCCTTTATTACCTTGTTATCTCCATCTAACCAACCTATTACCTCATTCATTACTACAAAGAAAACTAGGCAAATTTCAAAGTTACTTTTCCCACCATGGAAATGTGACATTCGTCTTCACAGAGCTTTAGTCCATGCAGAAAATCCAATGCTAAAACCTTCTTGATCTTGACACGAAATTTGTAACTGATAATAGTCTCTCAAGTTCTCTACTATAAAATCTCAGGTTTATCACCTTCACTTCTGTACTCAATCACAGTAATACTGTGAAGAAATGTTCATTATAGTTGTCATCATTTAAGTCTGCTTTCATACAATGAAAAACCCATTGACTCCATTCAACAAGTCATTCTCTGTTTCTCTGTTTTTTCTTGTGTTCTTCTTCTCTGGTGTTGACAGCTTGAATCTTGTTTCTTCTTCTCCTTCCTCCTGCTTCTCTTCTTCTGTTTTTGTAGGTCAACAGAATGGAGACGGTTCCAAGAAGTACGAGGAGCGCGCAAGATCCAGTTACCTTTGTTCTGGGGTTAGCAATAAAGTTGCTGCGGACAACAATTTCGCTCCATCACTTCTGCCACCATCAACCTCGAGTTCGCATATATACAGAGCATCTCTTTCAATGCATAATAAGCCTGCACATGTATATACACCACCACAACCTTCATCTTCCACCTATGGAACTCCCTCGAGAAAACCTTCAAACGTACCTAAACATCCTTCTCCAGCATATAGGGCCTCTCAGAAGGTGTCTTATGCAAATAATCATCAACCAAAGGTCTATAGAAGATCACTATTGAAACTGCTACCAGCTTCAACTTATCATCAACCTCCTACATCTCCACCACCTGTTCAAACTCCGCCATCTCCACCGCCCGTTTACAAGCCTCCACCACTAGAGAAACCACCTATACCAGTGTCACCCCCACCGGTTTACAATCCTCCTCCAGTCGAGAATCCACCTATACCAGTATCACCTCCCCCAGTAGAAAATCCACCTATACCAGTGTCACCTCCTCCGGTTTACACGCCACCGCAAGTCGAGAATCCACCTCCACCGGTTTACAATCCTCCGCCAGTAGAAAAACCACCTATACCAGTATCTCCTCCACCAGTAGAAACACCACCCACCCCAGTGTCTCCACCAAGTTACAGTCCTCCATTGAATCCGCCTATTGAAAAACCACCTCCTACTCATAAGCCTCCTGTCTATAGTCCACCTATTAGCTCCCCTCCTGTTTACAAACCGCCAGTAATCCCTCCAATCCACAAACCTCCAATTGTCAAGCCGCCTGTTTATAAGCCTCCAGTGAAACCTCCACCTATTCACAAGCCTCCAATTGTTCCTCCAACCCCACCCACTCCTATCTATTCACCTCCACCAATCCGGCCACCGGCTCCTGTCTACTCACCTCCACCAAGTCCACCACCTGCTCCTGTCTACTCACCTCCACCACCAATATATTCACCTCTCCCAAGTCCACCACCTACTCCACCATCCGCTCCTGTCTACTCACCTCCACCAAGTCCACCGCCCGCTAAACCTGTATATTCACCTCCACCAAGCCCACCACCCGCTCCTGCCTACTCACCTCCACCAAGTCCACTACCTCCTAAACCGGTATATTCACCTCCACCAAGCCCACCACCTGCTTCTGTCTACTCACCTCCACCAAGTCCACCACCACCTCCTATCTACTCACCTCCACCAAGACCAGTGCCTCCTAAACCAGTATATTCACCTCCATCAAGTCCACCACCTACTCCTGTCTACTCACCTCCACCACCAGTGTATTCACCTCCGCCAACCCCACAATTACCTCCTCCTCCTGTATACCATTATCCCTCACCTCCTCCTCCAAGCCCACCACCTACTCCCATTTACTCACCTCCTCTACCAAGTCCACAACCTCCCACCCCGGTATATTCACCTCTACCAAGTCCACCACTACCTCCTCCTGTATACTCACCTCCACCAAAAATACCTCCTCATGTTCCTATTCACAAACCTACACCAAGTTTGCCATCTCCTTCTCCCGTTTATAAACCTACTCCAATACCTTCTCCAGTGCCAAAGTTGCCGCCACCAACCCCCACTTACCAACCACCCCCTAGCTTACCGCCACCAACCCCCACTTACCAACCACCCCCTAGCTTACCTACACCACCCCCTAGCTTACCTCCACCAACACCCACTTACCAACCTCCCCCTAGCTCACCAGGATATGGAAGTCCTCCACCTTCTGGGTATCATTAAATTTTCAATAAAACTGCTTGTAACAGTTAGAGTTGTATCGACTGTATTATGTGTTAAAAATAGTAATAAACTTGTTTCTATTTGTCCACATTTGTTTAGATTTATTTACATTAATTTAATGTTTTCGTACATATAGTTAGAAAATAGTGAGGTGCGGACATGTGTGAATTTGTGTGAACTAGAGTAGGCATGTATGGACTAGTGTGTACATGTGTGGACTTAGAGCCCGTTTGGATGGGCTTAATCTAAGTGGCTTTTAAGCCATAAGTTAGGAATTGTAGCTTTTGGCTTTTGGCTTATTTTTGTCATTTTAGCTTAAAAATAAGTGCTTAAAAGCATTTTTTTACTCTATCCAAACACTACAAAATGGTAAAAAGTTATTTTGGCTTAAAAGCACTTAAAATAAGCCAATTCAAACGGGCACTTAATTAATATGTACACATGAAGTTTAGGCTAGATACATGTAGGAGTTCTACTATAAGCACCCATGTATGCTAGCAATTTGGAGAAAGTGTAGTTGAATAAAAATCATCCTTTCCTCCACCTCTCTAATAGTGAGTTTTGAGTGTTTGTTAGTTGTCTTGCTCTCCCAAAAATTTCTAACATTTGGTATCAGAGCCGGTGTGTTGAGAGACAACCAAACTTGGAGAAAAGATGACAAACACTAATGGAACACCATTCCAAGTTCCTATGCTCACAAAAGAGAACTATGGGAATTGGTGTATTCGAACGAAGGCCTTGCTTGGTGCCTATGATGTTTGGGAACCGGTAGAGTCTGGAGTTGATGAAGCGGAAGATGCCGCAACCAAAAATAAGAAAGATCAAAAGGCACTCACTCTCATCCATCAAGGTTTGGATGACAAGATGTTCGAGAAGGTTGCAAATGCGACAACCTCCAAGCAAGCATGGGACATTCTTCGAACTTCCTTTAAAGGTTTGGACAAAGTGAAAAAGGTTCGTCTCCAGACCTTAAGAGGAGAGTTTGAATCATTGCATATGAAAGAAAATGAATCTGCTTCAGATTACATTTCAAGAGTTTTGGCTATTGTCAATCAAATGAAAAGATATGGTGAAGAGTTGAAGGATGATAGGGTCGTTGCAAAAATACTACGATCCCTTGATTCAAAATTTGATTATATTGTTGTTGCTATTGAAGAGTCCAAAGATTTGAAAACCATGACCATAGATGAACTTTCGAGTTCTTTGCAAGCCCATGAAGAAAAATTGAAGATACCGAAAGAAGAATCGGTTGAAAAGGAATTGCAAGCAAAACTTTCCTTCAAGGAGAAAGATGAAAGGCGTGGTTCGCAACAAAGAGGTCGTGGAAATGGAAGAGGTCGTGGTAGAGGAGGAAGAGGTGGTAGTCAACCACCAAATAGAGACAATAAAAGCCAGACTATAGTCAAAGAAGAGGTCGTGGAAGAGGCAAAGGATGGAGACAAAATCAAGGAAGGTATGACAAATCGAATGTTGAATGTTATACTTGTCATAAATTTGGACATTTTCCTGGGAATGTAAAGATAATTCGGAGGAGAAAAACAACTTTGTGGAGAGCAAAAAAGAAGATGAAGATGCCACTCTACTTCTTGCATGCAAAGGAGAAGAAAGTATGGAAACGAACAAATGGTACCTTGACTCCGGTGCAAGTAGTCATATTTGTGGAAAGAAAAATTTATTTGTGGAGCTTAATGTCACGACCCCAGTTCACCCTCCATGAACATGTCGTGATGGCACCTAGTTCCTACTACTAGGTAAGCCTAACCGTGCGGAATAACATATTAACATTTGCGGAATAATTAATTAAAACTGAACATACGGAAATAACAACTGTATATAAGGCCACTCGGCCTATACAACTCAAAAATATGCGGAAGTCTACAACTAAATCCCAAAACCCGAAAACTCACGGGAAACACAGGCTAATAGAATGTAGTAATCTACTCTACACCAAAATGTCTAAACAACATGAAAGGAAAGAAAGGAACTATCTGCTAAAGCCGGAATACAGTAGAGACTCCTGGACTGCGGACGTAGCAGATATACCTCAAGTCTCAGCTAGGACTCTCCACCACGAGGATGATACGCCTGGAAGGAAGTACCTGGATCTGCACATGAAAAACATGCGCAGAAGAGGCATGAGTACACCACAGCGGTACTCAGTAAGTGCCAAGCCTAACCTCGGTTGGGTAGTGACGAGGAAGGTCAGGGCCCTACTGAGATAAAACATAATTAATAATGATATAACGGAAGCAGTTTAAATAAAGTCTACAACGAGAATCTAAACCAAGTAAATAAGGAAGAACAATAATAGAAAGCAAAGGTAACAATACAAGGAAAACTGCCCTCAACAAGGAATAATAGCCGGCGGATCTCTTGGTATCCTCAATAAGTAAGTCGGGGATCTCTTGGTATCCCGAGGATCTCGGGGTATCCTCAATAAGTAAGTCGGGGATCTCTGGGTATCCTCAATAAGTAAGCCGGGGATCTCTTGGTATCCCAATATATATAGAAACACATGCGCCATGGATCTCTTGGTATCCCGCACCCTCAGTCCAGAATATCTCAAGTACAGGGGATCTCCCGGGAAGCCGTCCCGTAGTCCCAAATTAAACACACAACAACAACAACCCATAATCTCAGAATAAATGCTAAAATCAGGACAAGTAATAGTAAATTCTAGCCTAACATGCTTCACAGAGTACAAATAGTACAGCTAAACAAATAAGCAAGTAAGCCAGCTAAACATGCGTCTCTAAGCTAGCACAGGTATAAACTTACAGTCTAAAATGAACAAGTAAACAGGAAATCTCAATTTAAATACTTCAAGTAGAAATGGGTTTACAACAATTAGCTCAAGTACGCGCTCGTCACCTCACGTACGAGGCATTTAAATATTCAAAGATCATGTCCTAAGGGGAAAGGTCCCCCACAAAAGGTTAGACAAGTCACTTACCTCGAACCGGCTCAATATCAACTAGAAACCACGCTCTTGCCACGAGTATCCGACTCCAGATGGCTCAAATCTATTCAATTCAATTACACATTGTAAATAACATCAAATACCTGGTTTTGCTATTAAATTCAAAGCTACGACGTAAAATTAGGTGAAATGACCAAAATGCCATTCAGGCTAACGCCTCGGAATCGAATAATTTTTCACATTTTCAGAACCCTCGTACTCTCACGAGTCTAACCATATAAAAATCTCCCAAGGTCAAATGCCCACTCAAAACCCAAATTCTAGTCCCAAATTCGAATTTTTAATTCATCCGTTAACCACCCGAAATTATTCCGAGTCCCCCGGGACCTCAACCAAAAGCACCAATACCACCTAATACCTTATTCAAACTTGTACAAATCTTAAAGACACCTAAAACAATGCCGGAAACCCGAATTAATCAAGGATTCAAGCCTAAGATCTTCAATTTCCAACAAAACACGCTTTCGATCAAAAACCTGTCCGAACCTCGTCCGAATGACCTGAAATTTTGTACACACATCCCAAATGACATGACGGAACTACTGTAACTTCCAGAATTCCAATCCGACCCTCGGATCAGAAACTCACTATCGGACCGGAAACTTATAAAATTCAAACTTCGGCATTTCAAGCCTAAATGAGCTACGGACTTCCAAAATACATTCGGAACACGCTCCCAACCCCGAAATCACCTAACGGAGCTAACGGAACCATCGGATTTCCATTCCGAGGTCGTCTTCACACTGTTCCGACTACGGACCACTTTTCAACACTTAAGCTCTCATTTGGGGACTAAGTGTCCCAAAGCTCTCCGAAACTCAACACCGAACGTCCCGGCAAACCAAAATAGCAGAAATGAACTTAGGGGAAGCAGTTAATGGGGGATCGGGGCGTAAATTCTTAAGACGACCGGCCGGGTCGTCACATCCTCCTACACTTAAACATTCGTCCGTCCTCGAACGAGCATAGAGAACATACCTGAAGTAGTGAAAAGATGAGGGTAACTGCTGCGCATATCCTGCTCGGTCTCCCAAGTTGCCTCCTCAGCCGGTTGACCCCGCCACTGAACCTTCACTGAAGCTATGTTCTTTGACCTCAACTTCCTGATCTTCCTGTCCAATATAGCCACTGGCTCCTCAACATAGGATAGATCCTTGTCCAACTGGACTGAACTGAAATCCAACACGTGCGACGGATCACCATGATAACTCCGGAGCATCGAAACATGAAATACCGGATGAACTCCGGCCAAACTGGGAGGTAAGGCAAGCTCGTAAGCAACCTCCCCAACTCGCCTCAAGATCTCAAAAGGGCCAATAAATCTCGGACTCAACTTTCCTTTCTTCCCAAACCTCATAACGCCTTTCATAGGCGAGACCCGAAGCAGAACCCGCTCACCGACCATATATGAAACATCACGAACCTTCCTGTCCGTGTAGCTCTTCTGTCTGGACTGGGTTGTACGGAGTCTATCCTGAATCGTCTTGACCTTCTCCAATGCATCCTGTACTAACTCTGTGCCCAATAGCTTGGCCTCACCCGGCTCAAACCAACCCACCGGGGATCTACACCTCCTGCCATATAAAGCTTCATACGGCACCATCTGAATGCTGGACTGATAACTATTGTTGTAAGCAAACTCCGCCAGTGGCAAGAAATGATCCCAAGACCCTCCAAACTCAATCACACACGCACGGAGCATATCCTCAAGAATCTGAATAGTGCGCTCGGACTGTCCGTCCGTCTGGGGGTGAAATGCTGTGCTCAACTCCACCCGAGTACCTAACTTATGCTGCACGGCTCTCCAGAACCGCGATGTAAACTGAGTACCTCTGTCCGAAATGATAGAAACTGGAATGCCATGCAAACGGACGATCTCCCGGATATAAATCTCCGCCAACCGCTCCGATGAATAAGTGGTACACACAGGAATAAAATGAGCGCACTTGGTCAGCCGGTCCACAATAACCCAAATGGAATCAAACTTCTTCAAGGTCTGTGGAAGTCCAGATATAAAATCCATGGTGATGCGCTCCCATTTTCACTCCGGAATCTCTATCTGCTGGA